GGAAATGTAAAAAGACATCCAGATATAACCACTGTTCAGAATATTTGACTTACAGCTTTAAGCTTGACTCCTTTCAGACAGGAACTATAGAGGACATATTTCACTTCTTCCTACTTCCTATAAATACATAATAAAAAGACAGGGAGATGTATTGCCTGGCCAAAAACTACTGTAAGTAGGTTATAATCTATTAAACAACTACTATATGTCAGAAAATACATTCTATAGTCAGAATAAACCAAACTAACTTCAGAAAGTGAATTTCCTGCAAAAAATGCAGCGTGAATGCTTAAAGCTGAAAGCTGCTGAAGAAGCTGCTGAAGTTTTAACAGCAAAACTGTTAATGCAAATTAAATCTGAACAGCTGACTTTTGCTGAATGTAGGAAAACAAAAGTAAAAAAGTCAGTAGAAAGATAGTAAAAAAGGGTAAAGAAAATCTGAAAAAGCAAAAATGTAGCTAAAATTAGAAAAAAGAAGCTAAACGTAGATGACAAGGTAAAATTAACAAACAAGGAAATGATATTTTAAAATGAGCAAAAAAACAAACAAACAATGTACTTACATGATTTGAAATACCTAAAAAAAACTGAAAATAGTCTGAAAACATCTAAAGGAAAGTAGCTGAAATTAACAGAAACAAACAAAAAGAGCATGTTTGCTGAATTCAGAAGTAAGACGCTAAAATTATCACAAAACGGTAAATTTAGCTGAAAAAACTTCTAATTAGCTAAAAAGTAGCTAAAAAGACAAAAAAAACTGTTGAAATAAACAAGATGAAAGAAGCACAAAAGGTTTAAATTATCAGGACATAGGGCTCTATGATTTCTGTGATGTGGAAAACATGAACAAAATCGCAGAATTTACCAAACAAAATGGAATCCAGCATAAAATGCTAAATCTCATGAAATCCACTCATTTGGGCGGGCGAGTTGAAGTTTGAGGTATTTTGTCCGCTGCTTGTATGTGTCATTATCTGGTAAGAGGAACACGGTCTGAATTCATATTTAACATTAAGTTCAACTCTAGAGATTCAATGTCTTACATGTTTTTTTGTTATTTAAAAAAACGATACGTAAATATGTTTAAATGCCTCGCAAAAGCATTTACTGTTCTGCTGAACCAGAACAATTTGTTTTATTCGTTAAAAAGAAATAACAGTGATTAATTTTTTTTATTCTGTGGCCAATAATATGTTAAATTATTTTTCAGTCACTTTATGATTATGCACTTATCAGGTCAATAAATATGGTTAGAATTAAAATGTGGAATTCAGAAAAATAAAAACAGATAAAACAGAACTTTGGAGAAACCTAAGGGTAGCAGAAAAGGTCAGAATGATAGCTGAAAAAGCTAAAATCAACTAAACAGAAGCTGAAATCAGCACAGAGGAGTAAAAACACAGAACCATAATAAAAGCTAAAAAAAAAGGCGTAAAGATTTATGAACATTTTGAAAGGTTTTAAGGATGACTCTATTCATTTTCAATTAACAAAGGTTAAATATCTCAAAAAGTAGAAACTGACGACGAACCAAAAGTCGTAACCAGAATATCCTGAAACAGCTGAACGTTGAAATTGTTGAAAAAGCACAACAAATGATCTCAATGTTGAGTTTTACTGACATTAGTAATTACATCTAAACGGACTTGACCTCATAATAGGCTTAAGCGTATTAAAGCTTTCGTTTAAATACCTCCATCCGGTTTATCTGACACTGACACCAGAGCCCGGCGACCAGAAGCGGGTCAGCTCTGTGCTGCTGCTGCTGCTGCTGCTGCTGCTGCAGGTGAACCTCCGACAGAATACTACTAGTATTAATACTAGCATACTAGAATAATACTAGTATTCTGAAGAACTATGGAGAAGCGTAAGTGAATTAATGCTAATTGTTGTTTTGAGTTGGTGTTTTAAATTTAGCTTTGTTTTTAGTTTTTTGTGTGTTTTCAGTTGTTTGATTTTTGTTGTAATTTACTTTTATTTTGAACATATTTTGGGTATAAAAGGGGCAGATATTACAAGATTTATTCTTCTTCTGCTGCCTTTCATTTTATTTTTATTTTATTTGTGATTGCATGTTTTTTGTTGTGTATTGTTACAAATAAAAATGAGTAAATGATTCTAAAAATATATAAAAACACACACATGTGAATATATAAATACATACGAGTCCAACAACTTCAGTGTGATAAGTTACAAGGCCATACAGGAACCTCTGGCATCCCCCCGTCCACGGATCAGTGCCAATAAACAAGTGCTATGATTGGCTGGAAGCCTTGCCCAGCAGACCTGCCCTATATTTCCTGGTGACATGAGCTGGATTGACATTAACCGTTTGGCGTCTGCAAAAGGGAGGCTAGGCAGCAGAGCAAGATGGTGGGGGCAGTTTAGGTAATCCAGATCTGATCTTCTGTTTAATATCACCGCTTCTGAATGGGTGAATCATGGTGGCTTTTGATAAACAAACAGTTGAGTGTGTCAGAGAGAAGGAGAGGCAGAGTCAGATGAGAGTCCCGTGCCCAAAGGCATGCAGGCATACAGGCACATGGCCCTCAGCTGCCAAGTGCCTGGGGTGGCCCCTCCCTCCCTGCAGCGACCATCTCCATCTGCCCGTCCCAAACAAAACGCCCCTCTTAGTCGCTTCAACCGAGGGGGTTTTAAACTCGCCGACCTCACCTGCTTTCTGAGAAACGCAGCGACCACTTCTGCGCCGTCCTGATTGCCATAAAAACCTGGCTCCGGCAGCACACAGATAGGTCATGGAGCTAAAAATAGTCGCGGGGCAGAAGTAGTATGCAGCAGCTCTGACGGCTCAAGCATTGCTCGGCTGTTTGAGGAAGCATCCATTAGCGAGGAGCCCGGCGCAACCACTCAGTCGAGTCGGATCGTCAGAACCTGAAGCGGTGCAGAAATCTGCGAGCGGCTGCAGAGACACGTATAAGTAAAAAATATTTAAAAAGCTATTTATTCTGCTGCAGTTAGGCTGCTTGTCAAACAAATCTCTGGAATTACCCATTAGCATGCTGCTAATGGAGGCAGGATGATCAGGGAGGGGTTTATTGAACGCTGTTCGCTGTAATGACAAGCTTCACGGTGACAGGTCACCAGGTAATAGTTACTCTGAAATTCTGAACTTGATTTTGCTTCTTTTTTCTTGCTGCTTTCATCGAGAATTAGCTCCATTTTCAATAAACATTACCGCAAATAAAGCATTTAGTCTCAAATGCACAAAATAAAAACTGGACATTATGAATCAATGTTGCAGTTTGAAGAGTTTACATCATTAGTACATTGAATGCATTTTGAAATGTGGGTCCACACTCAGTGTAAACAAAACACTGCTGGAGTCATGTGACTGACCTACATTAGGCTTTCCGTAGTCTGTGTAGGTAAACAAATATGGCCGCTAAGTTTACTGTTTGACATATTTTAAGTAGGGCCGCACAATATATCGAACATTTACCACCATCGTGATAACAGCTTGTACAAAATGCATATCATAAAAAAATGCATAAACTGCATTAAATGTTTGTCTGAAAAGTTTGCATTTATGTGTTTTGTCACTCAGATGGAATCTTGAGGTATTTCACCAATCAAATTTGGCCAACTGGATGGATCTCTTCATATTTCAAAAAAAAAAATCATGCTGGAATGAAAATGATTATTTTAGTTTGTTTTGTTTTGTTTTTGCTCTGAACCCAGAGCAGAAAGACATCAGCACTACATGTTTTTGTTCATCGTAAGTCATATCGTCACAGCAATATTAAGCACTGTTATCGCGCATCGCAGGTTTTCTTAACTTTAAGTCACTTTGTCTGTTCCTGCACGTAAACAAACACGTAGCAGTTAGCATCAGTTAGCATCCGGTCACAAAGTTTGTTTATATTTTTATTCAGATTTAAGGCCACGTCAATGTAAGAAAAACATTGTGCATATTTTGTTTCGTACTTTATTATAATTATTACTATTATTATTATTATTATTATTATTATTATTATTTTTATTATTATTATTTGCAATAAGTACTTTTAATATAAAAAGACAGAAACATATTTTGACGTAAAAGCTAAAATCTTGTTCTGTTTTCTCCATAAACCTTAGCTTCCTAAAATAAATCTTTTTCATTGCACCAAACATAATGAATGACTTGTTGAAACACATCACTCAAAGTGGTGTAATAAAATATTGATGCACTGAAGTATCGCAATATTCAATTTTCTGATACTGAATCAATTCTCAAAAGTACTGCTTTTAATTAATGTGTTCTTCTAATTGCGTAAAAATAAACTAAATTTAATCAGATTGTATGAATGTAATACTTGGGAGTTTTTTAAAATAAAAAAATCTTTTGGAGTGAAAAAGGACAACATATCACCTAACTTACAGTATCACAATATATCGTATCGTGATCTCTGCACTGATATGTATCATATTACCAAATTCTTACCCAAACACCGCCCTAACTACAGCAATATCTAATTTATTTATTGACACTACAGTGTTTAAGTGTTTGCATGCTATTAAAAAGGTCACATTATTTTAATAACACTCGTTTACTTTACATAAAGAGGTATGCATTCATAAATCTGTCTAAAATGTTTCAAAAATAAATTATTACCCATAAAAAATTAAACAGATAAGAAAGCCTCTTCCAGCACATCATTTTCACACACAAGCTGTTTTGTGCGTATAAGAAGGTGGGGTAACGGTCTAGCTTCGGTGGGGTGCCGCTTGGCACAGCGGTGAGTCTCTGGTTACGAGGCAGCAGGAGGTTCACACTGAGAGCCATGAAGAGCCACAGAGACCACCGCGGAGCTGGACCGGTCTTTGACTTTAACCAGGAGTTTCACACGGACTTTAATCAGCTGATTAGGTTCAATTCTGCTGCATTAGTTTGATTTGACAGCTCACTCAGAAACCAGAACCGTTCCCGTGCGGTGCGATGCTTTCAGGAATATTAATGACGAAATATAGAAATAAATGCTGAAACAAAGTGTGCTCACCTCTGGCAGATAACTTTTTGGTGTTGATTATTTTCGCAGCATACTCCTGTCCTGTTGACAGCTTCACACATCTGCGCACCACTGAAAACGCTCCCCTGCAAAACAAAAATAATAAATACAGTTAATCTTGTGTGCAGATCGATAAGTGGAGCTTTTAGAGCTCAGCAGCAGCTCCTTTTGGAGCTCTGGTTGTCTTAATAATTATGACTCATATTTTGCTGAAAATACACAAAATCTCAAACCTCTGCACTCAGCTTTCATTTTTTTATTTATTTATTTTTTTAAACCGGCTAGAAGCAGGCCTTTATATCATTAAGGCCTTTATATATTTCTCAAATGTAACTGTGGAAAGCTGCTTTTAAAAGACCAGGCTGCCCAGATTTGTCTGCTTAATAAGCTCCCACGAGGAACCTCAGACACGGTCAGCACATTCACAATAATGCGCTCACATGTCAAACGGGAGGCATTAAACTGAATAAATAAGAACTTTAAACAGAGTTTTAGGATTGGTTGATGGGTCCTACAGCTTGGAAACGCACCAGCAGCAAAAAGTCAAGAGAAGATTCCTTATAGTCGCTTTTTTTTACCGCAAAGATCTGTCTCCCCTAAAATAACTGCAGGAATCTTACAACCAACAGTTTTCATGTCTTCGCAGCGTTTGGCTAATTTATGAGTCTGCCCAGACGAGGCTGCTGCTGAGTGCCGACAGAGAAAGCTTGGACTGAGACACCGCTCCTGCTCCTAGACTCACAAGGTCAAAGGTGAAAGCTGTGAGACCAGATGGACCGAGACTCAGATGAGCCAACAGCCGGGTTGGATGTCCGTCTGAGAGAGGACACAAAATCCCGCAGAAGACTCTGGGCTTTTTTTGGACTTTGTCAGCATCGGGACGTCAACTCGCTTGTCTGTAGCAGCAATCGTGTATCCTGGGGTTGGGTAGAATCGTTTCATATGCAATCAATCATCAGAAAAACTTTAACGGATTATTTTCTGGCACTTGATGATTAATATGATTAATGCCAGTCAGTCAGTCCGCTTGATCCTCTGCTTCAAATACAACTAACATTTTTTTAAAAGTTCTGTAATTTATTTATCATAACTCCAGTTTTACATCATCTATCAACACAATTTAAAAACTGATGTAAACCTGAATTCTGTACTTTTCACACAGTTTGCAACAGATTCTTATGGAGAGCAAATATTTCCCACTAGAGTGATTTAAATTGGTCATGTGACTAGGATTATGAGGCATCCAGGGGATTAATCATCATATCACTCGGCTAAATACCACAATTAATCGTGATTTTTTTTTACCACTATCGCCCAACCCTACTGTGTCCTGATTAAATAAGATCCAAAACCATAAACAAATCATTGCATCACAACAAACCCAAAGTCAGGAAGACGACTACCTGACGTCTGAGCACATAAATAATGAGATGATTTTCCCAGGGCTTAGACTCCACCCTGCTCAGGTTGACTCGAGTCTTTCCGTTGGGTGGTTCCACCTGCTTCCAGCTCGAATTTTAAGACCTACTACCTGTGACATGCCTGTCCTTCAAATACAAAAAGTCAAAGAAAATATATTCATATTTTAAAAAATTGTCATAAAACACGATTTAACCCATTTTGTCACATAACTGGCATATTTTCCTTTGAATTTGGCTCAGCTAAAGTGAAACAGGAAGTGATATCAAAGGGGAACTCTTTAAGAAAAAAACTCTGGTCTTTGTTTAACACATTTTTATTTGAACTTTCTTCATCTCTCTCTTATAGGGACTAAAATTATCTAAAGAAACATCAGGAAATTCCCTGCTGTCCGTGTTGTTAACCGTTGTAGCAATGCTCTGTTTACATGCGCATTCCCCTTTGACATCACTTCCTGTTACTTCACATGCACATATCTCAACAACTGTTCATCTCAGTGGGGTGAAATTGCTTTTGCAATTTGTTATCCATGTTATCTTTCCAAAAGTGCAATCCCATTTATCACAAAAAAATTGATGTCACACGCATTTTAGTCACACGCACTTTAAGATTCAACATTAGCAGACTGAAGGCCACTGATTGGCTAGAAACCAACACCAAACATTTGAGTCAAAGTCAAAGTGAGTAGTGGTGGTCAGACTGTGAAATAAAAAGGCTGAAGTTGACCAAGAACCAATTATTGCTTTGGTTTTATTATTAGAAATCAAGTATGAACCAGAAAGTCTTCAGAGGTCAAAGGTTAAAGTAACTGGAAGACTGAACTTCTGGTGCCGTTGGTCTCCAGTCAACCCACTGATGAAGACGTGAAACAGCAGGACGTGTAAATCTACTGCAGCTACTTTCTTTTAGAATAAAATAGTTTTAATTAATTAAACTAATGTAAGAATGCAAGTTCAACCTATAACCTCAAAGAACCCTAACTATTGATCCAAACGATGACACAAACCAAAGAAAACTCCAAATAAAATGCCAAGTGATGCACAGCACAATGTCTAAAAACCCATTTAATTATTGTTTTTTGCAAGTGACAAATTAAAGCCAAATCTGTCAAAAAGCCCTGGGAGGGAGCAAACCGATGATTTCAGCCGACATAAACGCACCGATGGGAAGCAGCTTCTTAAAGCTCGACACAAAAACCCGAATTATGATGCTGTTATTGGAAGTGTGTTTATGGTAATTACACGTCACTAAAATTGTTGTTTTTTTTGCTCTGATGCTGACAACTGGAATAAATGCAGCAGGGGGGCTATCAGCGCTGCAACATCCAAACATAGATACAAAAACAGATGTTTTTATCTACTTTGGACTAAAAATGCTGTGAAAAATGGAAAAAAGTAGTAAAACACATGCAACATACAAGTAAAATATGTGGAAATAAAGCATTTTAATGACAATTAAATACTCATATTTCTTTAAAATATGAATTATATTAAATAAGGTTTCAATAAACAAAGACCTGGGAGTTTTCCTTTTTTTAGAGTTCCCCTTTGATGTCACTTCCTGTTTCCCTTTGAGCCAAAATCAAAATACAATATTTCAGTTATGTGACAAAATTGGTAAACTCGTGTATTGTCAAGTTTCTTGAATATAAAGTTGTATTCTTTGACTTTTTCTATTAAAATAACTTACACGTCACAGGAACTTTAATATAAATCAGCTGACGAACATGTTTTTAACAATTACTAAGAAAACGACAGCAGCACATCTTTATAGTCCACAGTTTAGATTTATCAAGTGAGAAAACTATCCTAAAGGATCCTATAAGTATTTAAAAGTCTTAGTTCTTATAAGTGATGGTAAAAATGTGTTTATTTAGGTTTATAATTAGATTATTTAATCATTCAATCAACTTTTTTTGTAAATCTCTTTACAACAACCAAAAATAAATAAATAAATGGGATGAAAGTGTTTAAATAAGACCAATACTGGGAGGTTCCAACATGATGAGCTTTACAGAGTTGATAAAAGCTTGACCTGCCTTTTTTTAAATATAAAAGTCTGACTTTGCCTAAAAGATGCAACTAAAAGAAGAGAGCACTAAAGTTATCAGCAGCGATGTCACTGAAACAGACTCTTCATCTTTTCTTCATTTAAAAACAGAAAGTTTGGGTCGAGCCACTGTTTAATGTCAGCGACACAGTCGAGGAAAGAGGTCGCTGCCTCCGAGCTTCATGGTAAATAAATCAGAAAGTCGTCAGCATAACAGTGGAGAAAAAAAGGTGCAGTGTAAAAAGAAAACATTTACTGCCCACTAACTAAAATCTAAATAAACCAATGTTGTATAAAAATCATGATAATTCATAGAGAAGAGTTTCTTTACTCACTTTTCTGAATGACACCATTTAAAAATAAACTTTCATAAAAAAACAATGACTTTATTTTGAGTATTTTTGACTGCGGGGCCTTGTTTTCAGACGTGTGCCATAAAAACAAAGACTTCTGGGTTGTAAATAAATTTATGGCAGCTTTTCTTTACCTGTGAGACACAGGTGTCAACGTGTCCTGTTGTTGAGTCYGAACAGATTCACTCCAACTGTGAACAGACCTTCTGAGAATTCATTTTCTTGTCCTTTAAACTAATRAGCTGTTTCCKAGAAGCATCAAGAACTTTTTGAAAACTGGTGCCGTACGGAGAAAAATAAAGAACTGATTAAACTTTATCAACTTCTAATAAATCAACCATTGTGAGATGAAAACAGTGAGTATTTCTGAGTACATTTTGTATATCTTACACAGAAATATTTACCTTTTATGTGTTTGTCATTTTAAATTAATAAATAACTTAATTGGAAATATTCAAAGTTTATCTGATTTGTGTGATGTCATCTGAAACAGGAGAAGTTTGAGGAAACACGACGCTGAAGTTGGTTTCTAATTTGAAGGGCGGTTCCACTTAATTGTTCTCAACCTTGAACATCTTTAATCTGCTCTAGTTTAAAAACTAAAATACTCAGATTCTTCAAACCTGTACTAGATTATTCTATACTGAATGCAGAATTTTTAAAACCAAGTTTGAGATTTGTGAAACCTTTATTTGATTAGTGAAACTTCAATAAAGACTGTTTTCATCACTTTTTATGCATCCGGACCACTAGAATTAAACTCATCCTCCCAAATTTGCAATATTTGCTGCAATTTCCACTTTTAACTTTGTCTACTCTCATTTCTTTAATTGTTAAATATTCTGCTATAAGAACAAAATAATCTAGTGCATATTTGAAGAGTTTAGGTGTAGTTTTGCATCTGGACCACGTAGGAAAAATATGCGTTATTCAGAATAAAGAGGAATCAGCTTTATTGAAGTTTCACAAGTCAGATAAAGGCAACCACCGTTAATTGTGTTTGATGACTGTTTTATGGTAAAATAACAGAACTTGTTTATAGTTTTCTCAAGTCCAAAGACTCAAAAGTGCTTCAGACCACAGTCATTCAAACACATTCACACAGTTACATACAAATCATTCAAGTTCAGTTCCAATACTAATAAATTCAGTTAATTAAAATCAGATTTACTGTATATCCAACGACATTCAGTCCACTTAATTCAAAATTTCACTTCTGTGATGTCATATTCAAGTTAAAGTCCAATTAAAGGTACAATTTTATAAATTCTAATTTCTTCTAATTATCAACTTCCAACTAGATGAAAATCAAATAAAATTCTGTTAAATTACATAAAACTTTATTTAAAAGATAAATGTATACTTTATTTAACACAAACACGAACATAAAAA